AAAAGAACAAACAAGGGCCGCTTTTGCGGAGCTAAAGCTTTTATTCGCAATAGTAATTCCGCGGATCAGCTAACAACTTCCTGGTTTGCTATCGAAAAAGAAGAAAATGAAAGAAATGTGCGCGATCCCGAAGTCTGCAGTGGTTTAATTTTCACTTCGCGGCCGTGGAGTTGTGGAATTATTAAATTGTCCTGGCTGAGGCTTTGGATTATGGGGGCTGTGAAGCCTGTGGGACAGCTCTCCAAATGCATTAACGAGCCATTATCTGGCCTGGGATCGCTACTGTACATATGTTTTTCAAACTCCGAGAGTGGAGAGACGAATATTTCTGGGACAAATAAGACCCACCGGAACACCAGAACCACGCGAGGGAGACCAGTCTTTGATGTAAACACGAAGTTTGCTGCTGAATTAACATTTTGCTGTGTATAGAAACCAAACAAGCGAACATATAAAGAATAGGAAGAAAGAGTCCTTTCTTCAAGTTTCTTTGTCAAGCACTATTGTGCAAAAGCAAAAATATCAAACCCTAGCTCACTGGAATTAAACAGAACGCCGGCGCTAGAAATTAGTCCAAAATAAAGATTCATAGCTCCAAAATCCCATCAAATCTTGACCTACCTCATTCCTTGGCAGCCTAGTCCCTAGGCGTTCTCTCTTGACCCGTTGTCCGCGCGAGGTCTGGGAAAGAGCAGTGACGTCACAGCTCACGGTAGAGTCCAGGATTGACCGCGCCGAGAACACCTAGGGACTAGGCTGATTCCTTGGTATTTAATGTACTTTTATATCAAGCCATTTTTTCGGTAAGAAGGACTCTGAAAACTTTGCATTGCCTGACCAAGAGCTCTGCGTGGCGGCTCACTTGTTTACTGAGGAGATAAACACCAAGTCGGATTTAGTTGGAGAAAATTTGTCCACCAAAGGTGACGAACTTTATTTTCAAGATCTGCCAATATATAATAAGCTAAATATCTCTTCAGCAAAGGTGGGGGAAAAAACCGCCAAAGAGCCACAGAATGTGGCACCCCCACCAAGACGCCAGCAGAGCCCGTGGGCAAGTACTAGTACTGGAAGTTGCACTAGCTACTTGCGTGACCAACTATACCAACCGACTACAGAGCTATTAAAGCTTAAAACATGAATCCTTTATATTGCGTTAAGAAATGATGCAGCCCCCGTCTGACCATCACTCCTTTTTTTTTTCGAATACAGCGAAACAGATTCTGCAATGAAGAAACGCACTGCAGAGTCCTTGTATGAGATGATGCAGCCCCTGTCTGACCATCATCGCATACACACGCGGCATTGTGAAATGTTACGATTTTTTAAAGCACTAGCTATAAACACGTCATGGTGCAGCCCGTGCGTGACCACCAACGAGGTAGAAAAGCCCCTGAGTGGAGCGAAAAGTTCTACAAACAAGATGCATGGCAGCCCATGTCTGACCCATGCGAAACTAAATTCCTTGTAACGCAGAATTAAGAATGAAAAGTTTAAAGGCATCAGACTTCCATCGGCCAAGAGCGCAAATCTGGGCGTCAGAAAAACCTTTGTCTGCTGCGAGACAGGCAGCGCCGATGCGAAAGCTGTGACTTTTATAGCGTTGAACATTCAAACCACAGAACTTTAAGCAGCGCCTAAGTTCGGTGTTAAATTGGTTAACCGTAATGGGTGTATTGTCTGCTTGGCAGAAGAGGGGACTGGGCTTGTTACCCCGGAGATTACAATACCGGAGTATGAACTTCACAGGACAAAAAGGTGAAGATTCATCACCAGGAATAACAATGTCAAAAGGGCGATTGCTTGTATTATGTTCGAAATGGGTGATTGTGATCTTAATAGAGTGGATTTTCCCACCGGATGCAAGGAATTAGATGTTATCGTACGGAATTACGGTAGTGTGACACGCGCTCCTGGCCGCTAGTTCACCGATGCGAAAGAAACCATAGAAGGCTGTGAGAAACATGGCTGAAAAAAGTATACGCTGTGCTGCCGAAGAGTTGGTGTGCTGGAGAGAGCTTACGAGGTCATGCAAGATAGGTTTAGATATCGGTAACCTGACATCACGCGATTTCTGACGACTGAGCGAGGTCAAAAGTTTTTGAATAAGGAAAGCCTTTGTGGGGTCATGCAAACCGTTCATTTTGTGGATGTAACCAATAGCCGATAGATAACAAAGAATAGTCGAAGGCGAAAGATTTCTACCGTCGAGAAAAGAAATAAAAAGCGCTAAAGACGCGGTGGTTAACGGTAAATGGAAGGCTTTTGTCTGGTAAAATTTCTCGTGAAATTCACGAAATATCCCCAGACTTGTTGGCAAGGTTTTGTAAAGTAAACTTGTCGAACGCAAAAAATTCGGCCTGATTTGTTTTCCAAGAATTTGTTTTCCAGGCCTAGTCTACTGTGATGAAGAGCCCGCGCTCTTAAATGTGATCGAAGATGATTGCTATTTTTTGGGTGTACATATATAAGGCTATCAACTCGATGTAAGATTAAGTTCACTCTTAGCTTGGACTGTTTGCAAATTACTTTTCTCTAAAATCACTCAACCTTTCCCTCAAAAGTCACATGAATGTGCTCTAAAGTTAACTGAATTGTGGAAAACAAGTTTATTTTTTGATTTAAATTATAAATTCGAGTTAATATATAGGAGCTTCGCTTTTAGCCCTGGCTAAATCTATATATTATTTAACTTGCATACATTCAATGAGCTTATATCTGTGCTTTGCGCTATCTCTTTCGGGCTTTGACACAAGTGTCATATGACATAAATAATTTGCGTAGACTCAAGTTCCATACATGAGCTCTCTTTTAAAAAAGATGAATACTGCGAAAGTAGTTGTACCGAATGCGTTTATGTACCCTCATATATAAACTGGACTATAATGATCATTATAACATAACAAAAGTAAATCGAGCGCTCTGATTGGTCATTTCGGCCATTTGCGCGTGGGTGCACGCCAAGAAACTGAGCTAGCGCGGTAAAATTTAGGCAAATTCAACAAATCTCCTCTCCTGACGGTAAAATACACTGATGAAATGCATAGATGAAAAGTGGAAGTTGAAGAAAATACTAAGCTGTCGTTTTGAAGGAAAAAAGACAAAAGATCAAGCGACAAATTTGCCCTGGATGAATTAATCACTGTTTTCCTCGCGGCTAGAATCGGCTGAAGGAAAATCGAGCGAGCGAAGATTTAAGGTACATTTTGTGTGTTTTTTATAGAAGAGAAAGTCTGTTTGAAATGTAAATTTATCAATTAGCATTGTGTTATTGACTTTTTGGTCAAGCTGATGGTAAATTCAAACAAATATTTTAGGAAACACGCTCAAATTCGAGACAGCTTTGTTGTGAAGTTTTCATCCATCGATTAAAAATTTTAGTTGAGTTTAAACGGGCACATTACTCTGGAATAAGCGAATTTCATTTGAGTAGAGAAACATTTGGGTTTTCAAATAAATGTTTCCAAAAATACCTTGTGTGTGTATAATTTTGTTCCTCAGTGTTAATTCATAACAGTCGTTCAGAGAACGGTCGAAAAACAACAGCTTCAGGGCCGGCTGTGTGTCGGCAAATTTCAGTTGCAACTTTGAATTTCATACCTGGATTTGCCAGACAGATTTCGGTACAAAGCTAGTTAATTTCTTTTTGAAATTAGTGTTACCTGTTATGCTAAAGGAATTACAGTCAAATTTTCTCATTTCTACTTTACGTTTATTTCAAAAATTGTCACATAAATAAGCTTGATAATTATTTCATTTATTTAGTTTTAGCTTATTTTTTAGAGTCTTTTTAGTTGGTGTTTATATAGTTGCAGCTACAGTTTTCCCTGAAAGTTTTTACCCTAATATTAAGAGCAAGTAGACAGATGCCATTCAGAATAACTACGAAAAACGTTTGCAATTTACCTGAAGACGGAGAACGGTTGATTCAGCGAAAGAAAAACTCAAAGGCAAGTTTTTGAAAAACATAGAACATGATGATTTGTTTACGCGCAGGCAGATGGCAGCATACATAAACTCGGACAGATGACTCAACCGCCTTTACAACTCTTCTAAACTGGGAAAAGAAAACAACATCAGTAAAACATGCTCCCGGCTTATTTCAAGGCGCATAATAAGAATAGAATAAATTGAGACGGCAATTTTTGTTAAGAAAATATGAGTTTTGATCGTCGAAGAAGCGGGCAAATAAAGCAATATGTGGAGTTTTAGGATCAAAACTTTTGTTTTTTCAAAATGAGTGAGCCGGGTGATCGGCTTTGTGCACCGCAAAAACTGGAAGTAGAAAAGAGCACAAATCAATGACGACTTTTAAACCGATTTAACTTTTATACTGTCAACTAGATGTTGACTGTTGGGTTGTAACTTTAACTTAAGGCTTATTCATGTATTGAAAGCCTGTAAAATGTAAATCACTAGAACTAGATATTGACTGTTGGGTTGTAACTGTTGCTTCGAGTTTCTGTAGTTTTGCTTCCTAAAATTAACAATTCAATCTAACTGTTTTGCCCTTTGATTGAACAATATTTTTAGTCTTTTTTGTTTTCTATGCAAAACCCATTAAGCCAGCCCCAATAGTGATCAGTTCCTGCAGGTTTGACCGTAATATCATTTACCCCTGACACACCCTCATATTACTTCTTTACTAACAGGGGACCGCTTACGATCCCTTACTGAGTTTTCTTACCACTGACTGCGTCAAACAGGAGACTGCACCACTCAAAGCAAGTAAAATGTTTATCCGTTGTCAAAAAACCAAAGCAGAATGTTACGCAATTGACTCAAGAAAACAAAGCTGCTAAGTTAGCTAAGTACTTCAGGCCGAAGGTGTAAGGAACTGTGCGTTAATTTTACCCGGTTGCAGGAGCTTGGATGGTTTCCAGATTTTGATCTTGATGCGCAGCAGATAAGAATCTACCCCCTCGTAACGTAAAATCTTAATTATAAACATAGCTCTAACTATGTTTTTAAGGGAAAAAAAAAAGACTCCCTCTTCCTTTTCCTGGCTTCCTGCGCATTGTCACCCTGCGTGGCGGACGGTTTTCTTTTTTTCCAAAATCATAAATAAGGTGTCGCCCCGCTGACCAAAAACCCAGAAGACTTTAAGTACGAGATTGTTTTCTTTGCTAAAACTGAAACTGAACATTAAGCGTGGGTTACTGGCTAGAACCAAGATGAGGTTTGACATGGCATTATTTAAAGAAACTATTAGTGAGTGAACATTTATCGTGAGACACAGTTGTACACAGGTCTTCTTCTGACTGGACTTTGTGATTATATTTACCTTTGGTCGAGGCTAACCCCGTATAAATGAGACTTCAGTGCTTCTATCCAGCGACCTCGGTGAATTCGAAACTGGACTATTTCTTCTACTTTTGAGAAATCACTGGATAAGACAATTTTCATGGAGCAAGGGACATGCGCGCTTTTCCGTTGGCTCGCTACCCGATCACCCGAGGTCACGTAATACAAAAATGTGAAGAGTCAGGTATCTACTTTGAAAGAGCAAATATTCAACTTAATAATTTATTTTCATCTCCGTTGGGAGCTTTTCCGCTAATCAAAAACAGCAACAACAGCAACAACAACATCAAAATGTTCGAACCGCTAGTCAACATATGCCGGTGATGTCATGTCTGCTTATGAGGTAAAAGCAGAATTTATTGCACTCTACAAGATGGATTCAAGAGTGGTGAATCCGTATCTCTGTGGCGCCCGAGATGAAGCTACGTCTTTACCTTGTATCTTTGAGTTCACCATATATTCTTTGCCCATTTTTGTTTGACACCATAACAACACTTTATCAATATCCGGCGTCTCGACACGCACAATTTCTGCAATTCCTTTGAGTACCACCAGGCCATATGGGACATCTTCGGTCATGTAACGGTATGTAAAATCTGGTAGATATTTACCGTCCTCTGTTTTCTTGACTGGGTGTTTGAGCCCTTGGTAAGCTGCATTGGATTTTATTGCGGTGTAAAGGTTGGTCTTGTCTGCAATGTCTTCAGGATAGGCTCTCATGAACCAATCATAAATGTGATGAACCTGTCGGATACAAAAGCATCTGCAGAATCAGATGCAACTCCTGCGTATATTTCAACAGAACTGAAAGGCCATCGATTGGCACTTAAGGCATAAGGGATGTCCCCTCCCCTCGCCTCCCCTCCCATTGAGGGAAAAATGACAGGCAGTTTAATTTGAAACTGATAGCTTTTGGTTCTGGACAAAATGTTAAACATACAAATAGCAGCGATGTGCAACAACTCTAGCACGATGAATTTGGCATTTTCGTTGGTTTCACACACACGTCACTCCTAATAACGAATGCTGTTAGTTTCATCCATCAAAGAATCACGAAAGAATACTAATGAGTGAATCTTGAATCCGGATACTAGAGTAATTGAACTTTTTAGCTGAACTTACCTCCGACATATCGGCTCCCGATTTCTCTGTGATTAACTTGGCAGTTTCTAAAACTTCATCACACATACTGGAGATAAGATCGGCAGTTGATTCGGTTATTCCAATGTAGAACAAAGGTGGCTGATCAAGAGGTTTCCCGTCCCATCCTTCCCACTGTCCATATAATATTGGTAAGTGCAAGTAGGCGTTACCACCACTCATAAGCTGAAGACCCAAAAGATGACCTGACACTTTCAGTTGAGGGAGGGGTCCAAGGAGATGCTGCAGCGTAGTTACTGGATCCTTCCTTGGTGGAACATCTCCTTTCTTTAGAATCAAACAAACAGGTAAGAAAGTATCAAGCAAAGTGATGTGGTAAACATACTGTATATTACGCGCGCATGCCTTTATATAATGAAGTTAGGTGCTTCTGGGAACAAAAAGAGCTGACACTGACTTTATGATGGATACAATTCTCACTCCGGCTTTTCATTGAGACGGGTTTTCGATCACCAACTATTTTTCTCTTTTACATCATCTGGCGTTAACAGCAAGTGTGGATTCATTCCAACGGAATAAACGTTCGACAACCACCACAAACAAATTCCAGGCAGCGAGGAAAAATGACCGGTTGCTCCACGAAACTTCAGGGAAAAGAGATTTGTCTTTTTTAAGATAACTTTTTGTTTTGTTTCGCTATAGGAAAGCTGAAATTTCTAGCGACATATTTTTCACTATCTAAAAAAATGGCTCACGTTATAAAAGCACATTCACTCCAATTGAGGGAGTTAGGAACTAACACGTATCCATGCCAATACTAACGCCAGTGTCATCTTAGCGGCTAATAATAAGTACTATTCCAGCAACTGAGGACGCTAAGGGTTTTTGCAAAACGAACATTTTTTAAATGCATGCATCCATAGTTCAGGGGATTGATTTTATACACGTACTGCGGTGCATGCTGAGAGCACACCTTCAAACGTTGAGCCATCAAATTGGCCTTGCAGTGAAAGGCAGATACTTCAGATGGTAAGCTTCAGTGCCAAAAATACACTCACTTTTCTTCGAAGAGAAGTGGAACAGCATCAGAAGGGG